TGCGATCACACATATCACCATTTGGAAGCATGTCAAGTGCAACTCTCCTACGAACACTGTTTCCATCATGCGGCAGAAAGCATCTGACTGCGACTTGGCGGTGCAATTCTGCACTCCGAGGGGGCGGGCCGATCCTGAATCTGATCTTTGGCCGTGCCACATCTCTCAAACATTGTCGAAAGCTGTCCCATTCACCAGAACTGTCGAATGACCTCGCGATGTGGATCATGCCCGTGACTGCGTGCTCCATGTGCTTGCACACTTCGCTGTGTCCACGCGCAATCGTGTGTACATCGCAATCCGCCGTCGCGCCTCACATGGCACGCCGAGGCGCAGTTGCATGCCGAATGCTGTCTAGCAGGGCTCGTCTAATATGTTCAATTGCTCCCCCGCCCATTTCTCGCCGTGCCCATCTGCGCGCGCCCCCCCTCCACCCCGAGGCCCTCCTGGGCTGTCCAACGCTCCCCTGGCGCCCACTGAGGCGCGCAAGATCCCCCAGAAAACCTTTGAGACTGCCCAAGAACGCCACCTGATCCACCGAGATGTCCCGATGCGCCCCCCCAAGGCAGGATCAGATGGGATCGGACAGAAAAGAAAACAACCTCAGCAACCTCAACTTGCCGCGCCATAGCGAGCGTTGCACGCGCGAGGGCAAACGTTGAGTGAACGGCCCTGGGGGTAAGCACTGAGCGAACCACCCTTGGGAACAACGGGCGTGCGAAGACTCACCCTCTCACGCTGCCGACCGCTCGTGACGGCCCGAAACTTTCCACGACGGCACGAGGACGGCCCCGAGGGACACCACGAGCGCCCCGAGACAGCTCAAGAAGGTTCCAGTACGGCCCAAGGGAGATCCAAGAGGACCCCAAGTCGGCTCCGCGGGGGCTCTCTGGCGGCCACCAAGGCCGTCAGGAAGCCTTCCAAACGATCAAGAGGACATCCCAGTACAAGCTCAGAAGACGCCAGGCGGCCCAATCGCGCCCTCAGACGGCCCACGGAGCCTCGACGAACCCCCGAGGCACCCCCACGGCATTGCCAGGAGGCCCCGACAGGGCCACAAGACGCCCCAAAGAAGCCACCCAAGGGCCGACAGTGCTTTCAAGAGGCCCGCGGTGCCACGCGCGACGCCCCCCCCCCGTGCGCTCTCGCACAACCGCAGCCGAGAATTCTAGGCTGGCACGGCGGCGGGGCTCGCCGTAGGCCGCTGGAAACTTTTTCATCAATGTGTATTGTTCCGACCTCGCAGCTCGCACGATCCGCTCCGATGCTGGGTTCGACCTGTGGCCGTCGCAGTCTACCACGCGAGTGAAGGACTGTGCACAACGGTCGCTCATTGATGTCTCTATGTTTTCCAACAATGCCTGGGCCTGACACTTAGCGCTTGTTGTGGCGATGGCCTGAGCGCAACCTGCTTCTTCACCCGTGATGAACATATACTGTGTCTTGTCTGGCGTCGAAGCTTTCACTAACAATACCCAACGGCCCCTACTATAGAAAATCTTCGTGGTATTCTTTGACGAATCTTTGAACTTCAATCCCATGAGCGCCAACGCATTCCGTACTGGTTGCAACGGTTGGCTGACGGGGCGAACACGAACAAGTGCGTTGCTGCCACTACGATGGGTTAACACGAGTGGTGTCTCGTCGTAAGTCACATGCTCGATCGAATGTAAAATCTCAACCTTTAGGGAATCGTTCCTGCACTGGGCGCGGGCCACCACTCTGCCAACCGAAGATCTCACCCATCGGTCTGACAACCAAGCCAACGCAGCAATACGACCCGTGTGACGCTGGAACGTGGGCCGCGTTTGGTCGAGCTCTGCTGCCCGCTCCTCGAGCGTTGCCCTGCGGCTCACTCTGGAATCCCAGCCCAACACCGAGCCTACCACAGGAAGCGGCACGCACTTGTTCTTTTCTGCAATAGCGAGCAACAGCGAGAACGATTCAAAGATCTGCGACGGCATCCTGAAAGAACGCTGCGCGTCTGACAATACTGCATGTTGTGCCACCACCAACGTACCTGCGTGAGGGTCTCCCTGGATATCCCGCTTCATGTTTTTCCGACGTTGAGCATCAGACGGAACCAGTGGAAGCGACCCATCGTCTGACATGTTCAGTGTAAGTGGTGGGCATACACACGCACATACACGGGCTGGGCTCTGCCAGCTGCGCCAAAATTGCTGCTAAACGTGCTGCGACGTGGGAGGGCACAGCAAGTCAAAGCAATGCAACACACACAGCTTGGCCAACGCAGTGCAATGCAATGCATGTGCACAAGTTTTGCGCGTCAGCAACGCAAAACAACACAATTCCCTTATCCACAGAGATCCAACATGCAATGTGAGCAACGCGTCGGAATGCAATGGCATTCAGTGCAGCGGATGCTTGGGGTCGGTTTTTCAAGGCGCACGGTTTCTGTTAGACTGGGGGGCGACGCGGGGGTCAGTCGCGCATACGCTGATACAAACAAAAAAAAAACGCAAAAAAACAACAAAGCCCACGACATTTGTTCAGACATTTTTTGGCTATTTTATGTTGTGCAAGACGTGGGTAGGCTTAAGGGCCCCTGGGGACATTTGGTGTGTTTTCCAAGATCCCGCAGTCTAGCGGTCACGTGCACCACGGCGCTAGCGTCCGCGCCCCGCGTGGCCGAGTTCGGCCGGAACTCGGCCACGCGCCGGGCGGGCGGCGGCGCCCTCCCCCCCGCGCGCCGGCACCCCAGCGGTACCCCCCCGAGCCCCCAACGAGAAGAGGAAAAGGAAGGGGAGGAGCAGGAGGAGGAGGAGGAGGAGGAGGAGGAGGAGAGGAGGAGGAGGGGAGGAGGAGGAGGATGAGGAGGAGGAGGAGGACTAGATGGAGAAGGAGGGGCAGGAGGAAGAGGAGGAGGAGGAGGAGGAGGAGGAGGAGGAGGGGGAGGAGGAGAAGGAGGAGGAGGGGGAGGAGGGGGAGGGGGAGGAGGAGCAGGAGGAGGAGGAGGAGGAGGAGGAGGAGGAGGAGGAGGAGGAGGGGCGCCACCGCCCAGGGCGCGCGCGCGCGCTGCGGCGGGTGGCCACAGAGAGTCGGCGCGCATGGGGAGAACGCACGAGCGAGTGGCTGCGGGCCTCCGGAGGCCGAAATCGAGGACGAGGACGACGACGACGACGACGACGACGACGACGACACCCTCCGGAGGCCGGCATCGACGACGACGGCGACGGCGACGACGACGACGACGACTCGGGGCGCCCCTCCGAGGGGGTCCGAGCAGATGGGGTGCAGTCAGACCTAGGCCAGAAGAGCATCCCTGGAGAACATGACACCCTCCGTCGGCGTAAACGCATAGGACTTCCGAGGCCCCCCCCAGGATGCACAAGAGCATCCAACACGACGGTCTGTGCTGACCAACCTCTCAGGGCAGGCCCGTGACAACAAACGGACCGAGCCTGGGCACATCAACTGGCCCCGGCAACGCGGCTGCACGGCGACGACCTGCTGCAATGAGATCGGCGCGCAGGGGAGAAGCCTCCTAGAAGTTCCTATTCTCAGCGGCGAGCGACTGGGGGGGGAATGAGAAAGAGAAGGCCTTCTCAGAAGGCGGCGACACTTCTCAGAAGCCCTCTGCCCTTCTGAAAGGTTTTCTGCGCCTTCGGGCAAGGCTTCGAAGACTTCTCAAAGGCCGGGGAACTTCCGAGCCTTCTGAGAAGGCCGCCCCTTCTCGCTTCCGCCTCTCGCTCGCCACCGATATTCTGATTAGAAATAATTGCACCTCTGACCCTCTGGGAGGGGACCTAAGTTAGCAGGGCCAACAATATAAGGGACAAGGGGTCTTCACTGCAGATGCTGCAGACCAATCCGGCCGGATTGCCTATCCCTGATGCGAAGACGGGGACCCAAGTGAGGCTGCGTCTTCATCGTGCTATTCGGCTTAAGGGGCCAACTTGCCCTCAACTATGTTCTGTTCGTTCGGATCGGCCCCCGCCCCCGGAGCTCCGTGGGTCGGACACGATGGGTGCAGACCGTCCCTCCGTTCAGGCCCGCGGTCTGCCTCGTTCCCGCGGGAGGCGCACTATTTTATCCAAGTGCATCGCCGGAGTAACCGCAGTCCAGGGAGCTCAGGGGGCCCCCGGGGGGGGGTCCCAAAGAGCCTCCCACAAGCCCCCAAGATGTGCCGAGAGGCCCCAGGGAGGCGTCCCAAGTGGCCCTCATGTTCATCCAGGAGGCTCCCGACCCAGGATGCAACTTCCATGATCGTCTCTCACACACTCACTCCTTGTGGGGGTGGGCGGAATGGCGCAAGCCCCTTGAATCACCGAAGTCCTGGGACGTCAGGGGCCCCGAGGGGCCCCGAGCATATCCATATCCACCGCCTGCCGAGGTCCCCGAAGATCGATCCACCAAGCGGTGGCCAGGGACGACCCCCCACCTGGGAGTTTCCCCGCCCTCACCTCTCTCGCTGTCTCCCTGCTGCCCGAGAACATGCTCCGCTTCTCCTGGCTATGGCGGGGGGGGAGGGGGCTTCGGAGATGTTGGGCACCAGCTGAAACCGTCGACATCTGCAAGGGCTTTGTTCGATACGTATGTACATGTGTATATATATATATATACATATATGTGTGTGTGTGTGTGTGCATATATAGGGAGAAAGAGAGAGAGAGAGAGAGAGAGAGAGAGAGAGAGAAGCAAGACAAAAAACATAGAGGCACAGCAACAACACAAAGAAGCAAGAGAGGGGGTTACGAGGAATAGGAACGAACGAGAGGGAGCCTTTCTCCTCGCCAGAACCCCCATCGGGAGGTCTCTTTCTTTTGGTACCTCCCTGGCTGCTGGTGTGCTGACCTGCGTCTCTTGTCCCGACTGTTCGCCTGGGCACGTCTTTGGATGGATTGCTTGGGGAGTACGGGGAGCGCTAAGAATTACACCAACGTTCAGGGGGCGGCGAACTAGCGCCAACCTCTTGCCCTGGAGAGAGGACGGGAAACAGAGGACATGACAGAGCAGAAAGAGATTGACGGAGAATACCTTTTCCTCGCCCGCACCTCTGTCAGGAGGTCGTGGCGCCGAAATGGGCGGAGGCCACGTTCTTCTGGTACCTCCCCGGCAGTCGGGGCGTCTTTCCCGCAAGGGGGACAGTAGAGCATAGGGAACTGCGATGAGCAAAGTTCGATAAACACCTCTTCCGAAGAGGGGGCCGAGTGGAACTATATGGAACGCGTCGTCATCAGCAGCATGGGACTTGGGAGGTGGGTGTGGATACCGACGAGGAGGGACATGACGATGACGATGGTGCGGACACTACGGAGCGGTGCCATACTACGCTGCAGCTGTCCTCGACACTTGCCCGAACCACCTGTCTCCCGGTAGCCCCTGCTCCTGTTTCGCCTGCCTCGTCCCGCCGGCCCTGGCCTCCCGCCTGCGCGCTCGTGGCCGCCCGCCTGCCTCTCGTGCCCCCTCACCACCCTCCAGTCGTGCGGTACAGGAACTGGCCGGCAGCCAGCGGTGCCGAGCCGACGGCAGCCACGCCACCGGCTGGAGATGGGATGCTGGAGCCAGATCTGGGGAAACGAAAGTGAAGGGGCCATGGGACACACAAATAAATATACAAAAATGAAAAGGATTCCCCATATTTTCCTATATTTTCTGGATTTCTGTCTTCCCCCCCACTTCCCATATTTTCCCATATTTTCTGGGGAATCGAGGATTAATTGTGTCTGTGTGTTTTTTCCTCTCCTGAGAAAGGGCAACCTTCTCCACCGACCTCTCCTGGGGCGCGTTCTGGCCAAGATTTCGAGGCGAATCCAACCGTGGCGACGAGGGAGGGGCATCGGTGTCGGTACGCCTGCCTCCCGTGAGGTCCAGGGGTTCCCATCCTACGTCGCCCGGCCGGTCCTTTGGTCGCATCATCGCACCGACAGCCGGTGATGACGGTCGTCCGAGAACGCCGTGAACGCAAACAGGGGGAAAACAAACCTACCTCGCATTTGACCACCCTCGCTTCCAAGAGATACCAAACGATGCCAAACTGCGCCCTGTACTGGTCAGGCCGCTTGACGAGGAGGCGCGTGGTATGACTCGGTTTTGCCTGGAAGCGAAAGCGGGGCAGGTAATCCACGCTCTGAGCAAAGACGACGCGCAGATGTCGGGCGGCGCCCCAAAGTCGGCCGACTCTGGCTCAGAGCTGCCCGCTTCAGGAGGGGGGCAGAGACAGCGCGCCCGGCAGCGGCGACGGTGTCCGGCTGGCACGCCCGAACCGGGTGCGGCACAAGGGGCACGCGGGCCCAAGAGCAAATGCTCTCCAGAATCGACAGCGGCTGCTGTTGGGAGGGCCCGGGAGAAGCAGGCAGTGAAGCAGGAAGGCGCTGAAGGTAGATCGGGCGTCCGCCCGCCTCCGAAAGGGGACGGAACAGGTGAAGCCAGTCGATCATTGAAGCAGGAAGGCGCTCAAAGTAGATTGAGATCCCAGGGCTCCAGAAATCCCCTGCTTTCAGGGACCGATGGGTCATGCCTCGGAGGAACACCGTCCGCGGGGACGCCGACAGCGGGTCCGCCTCCTCCTCCTCCTCCTCCTCCGCCTCATCCTCCGCCTCCTCCTCCTCCTCCTCCTCCTCGTCCTCCTCCTCCTCCTCCTCCTCCTGTGCGCAGGCCCACCAGACACAGTGATGGGCATTTGATTTCGACAAGGACGGTGGGGGCCGTCATGTTTTCCGATATGTGCCGTCGCGTGCGCAGGCGCACCTGACACACTCTGCCTGTGCCCGGAAAGAGGCGCATCTGGCGCGGCTGGAGTATGCAGCACACCTGGCGCACGCGGAGGCACGTGGCGCACCCGGCGCACCAGGCGTGCCTGGCACGCGTGGGCTCCAAGGGTCCCTGGCGCGAGTGGCGCGCCTGGCACGCGTGGCACACCTCGCCCCAACGTCGCGCACATGGGCTCGATGTTTGTTCCCGGTACGTAGCTGCCCATCCAAAGACGACCGCTGAACATGCTGAAGCTCGGGTGTTACGCACGTGTTGGGAGGGCGGGTGGGAGTGTGCTACAGTCGGCCGTGATTGGACAGGACACGCGAGAGGACACGAGACCCTTCCGAGGGCCACGTCGCCATAGGAGTCTAAGACGGCACGCGTCGCGAGGCACAGGGCACCAGGGTACCCTTGAGCTGGCAGGGTCGACCTACTAATCCGGGCCGATTGTAGACGGCCTGCTATCCAGGAGGGTGTCTTGACCCCTCCCCCCACCCCTCCCCTGGACCTGCACGGGCGGCGGCGGCGGTGGCGGCGGCGGCGGCGGCGGGCAGCGCGGTGGCGGCGGCAGCGGCGGACAGCGGCGGCGGCTGCGGCGGCGCGGCGCCGGTGGAGGCGACAGGCGGCGGCGGCGGAGGCGGCGGCGGCGGCGGATGCGCCCCCAGTAGCTGCCCATTCAAAGACGACTGCTGCGTATGCTGGGGCTCGGGCCAGGCTCGGGTGCTACGTATGTGTTGCGAGGGCGGGTGGGAGTGAGCGGAACGGCTTGGCGGGCGGGGAGGGAGACTCTTGACCCCGCCCCCCACCCCCTCCCCTGGACCCGGACGGAGGCTTTCGCGACGGGTGGGGACGTCCAAGAAGGCCTCGGCGAGGGGGCACGCAGCATTGGCGTCGCTTCGGGCTGGGGCCCAGTGGGGCCTCCTGGGAGGGCGCCTCCTGTGCCCCCCCCCCCGCCCTCTTCGACCGATCTCCTGCAAGACTGCCCCAGGGTGGCCCCAGAGGCTCGTCCGAGTGCTCCAAAGAGGGCCCCAAGGGGCGGCCAGGAGGCCCCAAGAGGCCCCCAAGAGGCCCCCAGGAGGCTCCCAAGAGACCCCCAGAGAGGTTGCCCCGAGGCACCCGAGACGCTCTGAGAGGCCCCCATGCAGGACCGCCAAGATGCCCTCAAGACGCTCTAATTTGAGGGAGTTTCTGTGGAACTCACGTCATCCTCACCCCCGGCGCGAAGAGCACGAGTCCAGAGCGGCCTCCGGCACCGTTTCCGGACGGATCCGGACGGATCCGCTGGATCCGGGGACGAATCCCAAACCGGCGCCCTCGCCTGAGACATCCCCGCAAACCGGCCCCGGGGGAGGTGCCCAGAGGAGCCCAGAGCGGCCTCCGGCACCGTTTCCGGACGGATCCGGACGGATCCGCTGGATCCGGGGACGAATCCCAAACCGGCGCCCTCGCCTGAGACATCCCCGCAAAACCGGCCCCGGGGGAGGTGCCCAGAGAAGCCCAGAGCGGCCTCCGGCACCGTTTCCGGACGGATCCGGACGGATCCGCTGGATCCGGGGACGAATCCCAAACCGGCGCCCTCGCCTCAGACATCCCCGGAAAACCGGCCCCGGGGGAGGTGCCCAGAGGAGCCCAGAGCGGCCTCCGGCACCGTTTCCGGACGGATCGGACGGATCCGCTGGATCCGGGGACGAATCCCAAACCGGCGCCCTCGCCTGAGACATCCTCACAAAACCGGCCCCGGGGGAGGTGCCCAGAGGAGCCCAGAGCGGCCTCCGGCACCGTTTCCGGACGGATCCGCTGGATCCGCTGGATCCGGGGACGAATCCCAAACCGGCGCCCTCGCCTGAGACATCCCCGCAAATCCGGCCCCGGGGGAGGTGGCCAGAGAAGCCCAGAGCGGCTTCCGGCACCGTTTCCGGACGGATCCGGACGGATCCGCTGGATCCGGGGGCGAATCCCAAACCGGCGCCCTCGCCTGAGACATCCCCGCAAAACCGGCCCCGGGGGAGGTGCCCACAGGAGCCCAGAGCGGCCTCCGGCACCGTTTCCGGACGGATCCGGACGGATCCGCTGGATCCGGGGACGAATCCCAAACCGGCGCCCTCGCTTGAGACATCCTCACAAAACCGGCCCCGGGGGAGGTGCCCAGAGGAGCCCAGAGCGGCCTCCGGCACCGTTTCCGGACAGATCCGGACAGATCCGGTGGATCCGCGCCCCGGGGGAGGTGCCCAGAGGAGGAATGAGGAGGAGGAGGAGGAGGAGGAGGAGGAGGAGGAGGAGGAGGAGGAGGAGATGATGGAGCTGCGGGGTGGAGGAGGACAGACGGAGGCAAGAGAAGGATGGAGGAGGAGGAGGAGGAGGAGGAGGAGGAGGAGGAACCTCATCCTCACCCTCGCCAACAAGCGCACGCACCTTCTTCTATATACAGAAACTCCCGATCAACCGCAGAGCGGCCGGCTAGGAGGACTCTCATATTCTTTCAAGAGACATCCGAAGAGACTGTGAGATGCATCCAAGATGCATCTGGCCATTCTGCTCGCCCTTCTCCTCCTCCTCCTCCTCCTCCTCCTCCTCCACCGCCTGTACTGACCTTCCTCCCTCCCCCATCACCCCCTCCTCCATCCTCCCCCCCTTGGGGCACGACGGCTTCTCCAGCCCGTTGTTCCACTGCACGCTCCTCCACATCCCTGATCAACGCAACTCGCATGGGCATCGTTTCGGTATTGGCTGGTGGGGTTACTCGAAGCGTCGAGACTAACCGCGTCCCAATTTCCCAAACACCCTTTTCGTCCGACCCGAAAGCCCCTCGCCGTCTGGCGTTCGGGTCATAACTTGGGTCTCTGGCAACACTTCGGGATGAGACACAGCTGTTGAAATCATCCTTTCCTGGAAAACCGCAGAGAAACGACGAAACCGTCCGAAAAACCTGAAACCTCGAACCCTGTTCGTTCGACTCGGTCAACGTCCGCTCCAGCCAAATCTAGCCGAGATTCGGCCTGCAATGTCCTGGTTTTGTAGTGCGCGGCCACGTCCGGACCCATTCTCGTGGGTATAGGCCTCCGCCCAGGGCTCATATCGGATGACCCCAGAAACCGACAGCGGTCCCGAGAGTATCGAAACATATAAATAAGAAGAAACAACGCCATAAACAAAACATACACTTTTGGCGCTCCGCGCGGATTTCTTGGATCTGCGCTGGACACTACTCCCTGGCGCGCGGAACGCGCCAAAGGCGGCGCCGGTGGCGCCGCCCGGGGGTCCGGCGCGGATGCAAGCAATCGGCGCGGAGAGTCACAATGTTATGTTCATGGCGTTGATTTCTTTCTCGAAAGCAATACAACATCGTATCGTTGGATCGTTGGAGGAGAAGAAGGAGGAGGAGAGAGGAGAGGAGGAGAGGAGGAGGAGAGGAGGAGAGGACGGGAGGAGAGGAGAAGGAGAGGAGGAGCGGCGGAGGAGGCGGAGCAGGAGGAGGGGGAGGAGAGGGAGGGAGGGGGAGGGAGGAGGGAGGATGAGATGAGGATGAGGAGGAGAGGAGGAGGGAGGAGGAGGAGGAGGGGAGGAGGAGGCGGGAGGAGGGAGGGGGGGAGGATAGCCAGGAATTCGCGCCCCCGCGCGCCCCTCCTGGCGAGGACGCCCCGGGTGTTGGGCCGCGCGGGCGGGGGAGTCCAGGCCGCGCGCCTCGCCAGCGGGCTGGGGGGCCCAGCGGGTGAGGGCCATCTCCTCGTCCTCTTCGTCCTCCTCCAGCCCGTCGCGTTCTTCCTCCTCCTCCTCCTCCTCCTCCTCCTCCTCCTCCTCCTCCCCCCGCCTCCTCCTCCTCCTCCTCCCCCGCCTCCTCTCCGCCTCTCCTCCTCTCCTCCTCCTCCTCCTCCTCCTCATCCTCCTCTTCCTCCTCCTCCTCCTCCTCCTCCTCCTCCTCCTCTCCTCCTCGTCCCCCTGGGTCTCCATCCCCTCCCTGCTCCTCCACTACCCCATTCCACTCCTCCTCCTTCCTCCTCCTCCTCCTCCTCCTCCTCTTCTTGCTCCTCCTCAGCCTGGTTCTCCGACTTTTTTTCATCCTCCTCCGCCTCCTCCTCTTCCTGCGCACGCAGTAGGCGCTCATGAGATCCCCACGAAACCCCGGACGAGAAAAGCAACTCCCCTGGACAGCACCCACCGGGACCTTTCGTCACCCGAACGGTTGGGGGCGACATACAGCCGAGAGGTCGCGACAGGGTCCTCTCCGAGGGGGCTGGCCTGGGCTGCGCCCTGGCCAGCTTCAACAAGGCCACGAGGCCTCCAGGGATCTGTGAGCGAGAACCACCCCTTTCCTTGGAGGTACCTGCCCTTTGCGAGCCCGCTGAGCATCCTCTTCCCCCCACTCAGAGGGGCGGGATGGACACGGCTCACGAACAAAAACTTCGAGATGGTGGCCCCGCCAGCTCCGCAGGGGGAGCAGACCACCGCCCGCCTCCCACCCGCCAGGGTGGAAGGCGAAGCCTCGTGCGAGGCATACCCCTCGCGCTGCAGCGCAACCGCGGCCAAGTCCGCACCTTCCCGAAGACCAGGGGCGGAGGGATGACCGACACGCGAGGGACCTCGGTGCGAGCACGCTTGACATTGGCGGGAGGGCGGCACATGCTCTCCATCGAGATCGGCCACGGGTGGCCCAACTAGAGTACAGCCGAGGCGTTGACCTAAGGAGCCCTAAACAAGGAACGAGGCCCTTTTTTCCATACATTAAACTTCGACTTCCCATCGAAAACTTAAGGAAAACCTTAGGCAAGGTGTGGAACAATTAAGGAACACCGAGCCCCTCCCCAACGCAAAAGGTTCCTTCTTCAACGCCCCGACTGTAGGGGCTCGACCACAAGAAACCGTCCCAAAGAAACCCAACCCTGAGACCCTAGGACGTCCATTGACTCTTGGCGCGGGAACGTCACGCTTCCAATAGCAACACCCTCGAGACCAAAGAAGCCCAGGGCACCCTGGAGGCAAGCAGGGTGTTTCTTGGCATGGGTCTCCATTGTAAGCCGACACATCTGGACCCTTGACCTTCAAGCGATGTTCGGCCAACGCACGTCTGTGCCTAGCGGACTGCTTTGCACACGCGTCGGCCAACAGATTGCCAACTTGCGCACGGGCAGGGACATTCCCCGCGAGCAGGTCAGCGCGAGAGGTGTGAGCTTCAACCTTCTTTCACTGCAACTGCTGCGGGCTTCCTCGGCTTTCGATGGCACGCCGCACAAAACGCCAAATGTCAGCCTGCGCGGACTGGGACGAGCGGCACCAACGGAGCCCGCGGGTCCAGGAGCCATCGGCAACGAAAGCGGAGTCGGTCCAAAACCACGCTCCAACCAGTGCCTGTCCAAGGCCCGTGAGAAAAAGTAAAACAAGGCTAGGATCGGGATAAATCACTCCAGAGCGTTCTGGAGCGCTCTCAGAGCGTTCCGGAACGCTCTGGAGCGGCCGCGGCGCCCAATACATCCTCCAAACCCGCCGATTCTCAGAGATTTCGAGTTATCCCGATCCGATTTTGTCCCGATCTTCGCGTCGTTTGAACAAGACCAGAACCCGCATACATCCATCTATGCCATGAGGACCTGCCAGGAGCCCTCCTGCCGCCGCCGCGCACGTCAAGCGTGGCCTGGGCAGGCCGAGGTCGCGGCCGAGCGAAGCGAGGGACCGGCCAAGCGGCCGCACGGTGGGAAAAGGGAGATGCGAATCAAAGAGGCTCCCACCCACACAGGAAACAAACCGCGCGGTGGCGGGGGGGATGCGACTCAGAAAGGCTCCCACCCATACAGAGCAACCGCGCGGTGGGGGGGGGGGCGCGAAGCAAAAAGGCTCCCGTCCATAGAAAACAAACACACATCAAAACAACGATCTCTCCCGACATCCCCGGGCCGACCGTGCAGCCAGAGCTCCGCGGGGGGGGGGGGAGCGAAGGCGGAGGAGCCAAGGGGAGCAGGCGGCGGCACGAGGTCAAGCCTCCTCGAGGAGCAGACGAGCGACGAAGGGGGGGGGGGCGTCCTGCTGCCTCCGAGGGGGGCATGGCCTGCGCACGGGCTGGCGGCGCTCCCGCTCCAGACCTGGGAGGTCTCGATGCCCGGGTCTTGACCCAGCACGGGGGCGACGTGTCCCATACACTTCTACCACGTTGGAATACGCTTGGGGTATGGTTGTATCTCTCGTCCAACATCGCCCTGTCAGAGGACGGGCCTGACCTAGCACTGGAGAGAAGGGCCGCCACTTTGGCCCGGGGCGCGACGCGCAGAGCACGACTGGCCTCGCGCCCCCCGCGGGTGACCTGCGCAGGAACAAGGAAAGGCGACACCAGCACCAACAGGGCGAGGAGATGCGATGAGGCAAGGGGGAACTCCCTGGTGGCGTGGCCCCCCCCCCCTCTCGCTCGAGACGTCCCCGGCCTCCAGCTCGGAGAGGCACCGTGGACCTCCTCGCTGGCGGTGGGCCCCCTGGTGGTGTTGGTATCGCTTCTCCCCCCTCCGACTGTACAGGCGAGGCCAGCCCACAAGGAACCTTCCACGGGAAGCCCAACCCTGAGACCCCAGGGCGTCCACGCATCGGTGGCGCGGGGGCGCCGCGCGCCCTCCGTCGCAAGGCCGTCGACACCCAAGAGAAAGCCCCGGGAACCCTGGAGGCAAGCGGGGTGCTCCTTGGCATGGGCTCAGGTCGGGCATGCCCCCCATGCAGGCGGATGTTGGACGAAGAATCAAGCCTGATCAAAACAACTCTCACAACAAATTGCCAAGCATCGTAGAGACATCGTCCCCGGCCTATAGTGTAAAACTATTATTGAATAGTCCTCCTGGGGAGGGGCGGGCCCGGCTGAAAAAGCGTGGGTCTCCCCTGCGTGGGCCCGCGGCTGGCGGCCCCCGGGGCGGAGGCGGCTCGACGGCCCTGCTCGGAGGCGGGGCCGGGGGCCGACGACCTGCCGCTCCCGCGGCCACTGCTGCCCGCCCGAGACACGGCTCACAGCATAGGCGCAGGTCGGGCGTGCCCCCCGACGGGCGGAGCTTGGGCGAAAGATGAGACACAGACCATCAAATACGACATCCAAACGTAAGCACAACATTGGGTCGAACAATCGTCCCCTGACTGTTTTTTTACTACTTCTGGACATTATTCCCCCTGTAGAGGGACGTGCCCGACCTAGACATCGGCTCGCTCACGCGACCGCCCGCGAGCGGCCGCCCCTGCAGCCGAGCGCCTGCGCCCGAGCCCGCGCACTGGCGGACTGCCTGCCAGACCCCCCCCCCAGCCAACTCCGAAGGCCCAGCCTGCGGGTTCGGGGGGGGGAGGAGGGGGAGGGGGAGGGGGAGGGGGAGGAGGACGAGCTAGGTGCGCTCGCGTCATATCTGACATCCTACCCCTACCCTCCCATCCCTTACCATGGCGTAGATCCCTCTCTACTCGCACAGTCGGATGCCGAGCAGGGCAATGATCCCGAAAGGGTACACACGCATGCAGTGTAGAGCATGGCATGGCATGGCGTAGAAGAGCACCGCAAAGCGTAATATGTCACAGCATGGCGTGCCGTGGGCGTAGTGAAGAATTGCATCACAAAGCTTTGCAACGCAAAGCATGGCATCGCACAGCGGCCCCGGGCATAACATTGCATAGTACGGGAGCAGGAGGAGGAGGAGGAGGAGGAGCAGGAGGAGGAAGGAGGAGGAGGGAGGAGGGGAAAAGTGGTGGGAGGAGGAGGGAGAAGGAGGGGGAGGGAGGGAAGTGGTGGAAGAGGAGGAGGAGGAGAATGAGAAAAGGAGGAGAGAGGAGGAGGAGGAGGAGAAGGAGGAGGAGGGGGAGGAGGAGGAGAAGGAGAGGAGGAGGAGGAGGAGGAGCAGGAGGAGAGAGCAGGAGCAGGAGCAGGAGCAGGAGCAGGGGCAGGAAGAGGAGGAGGAGGAGGAGGCGTGAGGAGGAGGAGGAGGAAGAGGAGAGGAGGAGGAGGAGGAGGAGGAGGAGAGGAGGAGGAGGAGGAGAGGCGGAGGGGAGGAGGAGGAGGGAGGAGAGGAGCAGGAGGAGGAGGAGGAGGAGGGGGGGGGGGAGAGGAGGGGGGGGGGAGAAGGAGCAGCAGCAGGAGGAGGAAGAGCAGGACGAAGCGTGAGGAGGAGGAGGAGGAGGAGGAGGAGGAGGAGGAGGGAGGAAGGAGGGAGGAGGAGGGAGGACGAGGAGGAGGAGGGGAGGAGGAGGAGGAGGAGGAGGAGGAGGAGGAGGAAGAGAGGAGGAGGAGGAGGAGGAGGGGAGGAGGAACCGAAGGAGGAACCGAAGGAGGAGGAGGAGGAAGAGGAGGCGAAGGGAGAGGGCGGGGCTGAGCGAAGAGGGGGGGAGGAGACCAAGGGGACCGAGGGGGGTGAGAGCGGGCGGGCGCGTCTCGGCACGCGCCTCGCTTCCAGCTCCATCACGGACAGGTCCACCTGGTTGGAAGGGCACGGAGGAGCCGCAGAGTCTTAGGCAGGAGGGAGGGAGGGAGAGAGAGAGAGAGAGAGAGAGGACGGGAGGATAGAAGGAGAGACCAGAATGGAGGGGGGAAGGGGGGGAGGAGCAGGAGCAGGAGGAGCAGGAGGAGCAGGAGGAGCAGGAGGATGGTGAGGGGGAGGATCAGTAGCAACAAAAGGAAGACGTAGAAAAAGGAGGAAGGCGAGGAGGAGGAGGCTAGCGGTGCTGACTGTGGCAAATTCATAACACCCGCGATAGATCGCTAATCGGCCCAGAGACGACCGACGACGAGCCCTACAGAGGTCCACGGAGGACAAACACACGGCCCCCAGACCCCTCCGTCACAGACGGCAACAAGGCATCCCAACACTGCCAGACTATCCAGGACGACTGCGAAGCGGTATGCGGCAGCCAGAATACCATAGAACTAACAGACTGCAACGGCGCGAAATGTTGCCCGCCACCGTGACCCCTGACACATCGAAGCGTGGTAGGATCCTAAGTGCTGCCTGGTAGGGTTTCTATACTCGTCTGAGGGACACACCTTCCTGGTAGCAGACTGTTGCGTCGCATACACCGCCCCCCCTCCACCTTTGCACCGCAAAACATCCATGGGTTCGCACTGCCAAGGCCACGATCCCACGAGCAACAGAAAACCAACCAAAGCTCCCGAGGCCACGATCCCTCGCACAAGAAATATTAACCTTAGATCGGGCATGTCCTCCTACAGGCGGATTGTGCACGGATCACGTTAATTGACAAAGACAAAAGACTCATTAAAAAACATGTAGGAAAAAACGTCCCAGACTATGTTCGACTATTTGGGAATATTCGCCCAGTAGAGAGACAGACCCGACTTAACATTAATCCGCGCTCCCAGAAACGCGACCCCATGTACCAAAACACACAGTGGATGGTCGAGGCCGGCCACAGCAAGGCTGTCAAGATGGCCCAAGATGCCTCCAAGACTGCCCGAGATGGCCCCGAGACCACGATGGCCTCCAGACGGCCCAAGGGGCCTTCAAACCTGGCTCACGAGGGCCACAAGAGAACCCCCAGTAGGGCTCGAGGAAGCCAGCATCATTGGTGTCCTTTGAGTTGTTGGAAGGCCTCGAAGTTTTCATGTGTTCGAGCTTGCCTCAGCTCCAGATAGCCCTGAAGGCCTCGCGTATGGCCGCACAACGACAGCGCCCCTGGCGCACTTCGTGCCCCCTGGACGCCCAGGCGCTCTCAGGACGGCCCACAGGAACCCAACATCGGCACACCCCTCACGCACGTCGTGCCCCACGGACGCCCAGCGGCCCACAGCCGCCTGCTCAAGACGGCTCAAAGGAACCTCCAGTTATCACACCCCTCACGCCCCTCGGTGCTCCATGGGCCACCGAAGGCCCCAGCTGGCCTTCAGGATGGCTGCAGCCGAGTCCCAGCTTGTCACGCCAGCCACGAAACCGTGCCCCACGATTCCTCGGATGCCCTCAGAAGGCTTCCCAAACCGCCCGACCCCGAAAGGACCCCAACATGGCCCCAGGGGAAATCGGAACGATCGGTGCGGACACCCGTCGACGCCACAATCCCCAACACTCATTACAATACCTGCCTCCTCCTGATTCATCGTGGAAGCCTGTTGAGGCCGAAGTAGCCCCTCAAAGGCCCCCAAAGAGATCAAGGTCTGGTAAGGTATGCCTTGCGCCTGTAAGGCGCATCGGCGCAGAAAACTACTTCGAGCTTCGCACACATCCTGGAGAGGGCCCAAACATTACCGATGATGACTCCTCGAGAAAATTCGGTGGCAACTCAAGGGAGCCTCTCGTGCCATCTTGCTGGCTCTTGCGAACCGACGTTGGTCGACGCTAAATCGACGCCAATCGACGCTCATCTTGGATTCCAACGTGGGTCTGTTAGTATAGAGGAGGTCATGCAACAAACGTTGCGACACATATTCTGCGTATCTGTGCATATGCGGTCTGGCAAATCGGGGCGGCATCATCGCGACGCCAGAGGGCGTCGCGGACTCGAGCCTTTGGCCTGGAAGCGCGAAGCGCACGATTACCCATATCACGCAGTTCTGCAACAAGTCACTGTGTTCTGGGGGGTGCACGGACACGCAAAACACTGTTCAGTTAATTGTTAGCTGGCGTCCGCCTCGAACTCATGCCCCACCCCCCGCCTCTCCCAAATCTCCCTTCGCTGTGGCCCCACCCTCCTCATGCCCCTCCGACTGCCCCGGTCCTCATCATGCCCTTCATCCACGCTGCTCCCCCCCATGTGCCAATTCACGTCGTTCCTCGTCGTCCTCCTGCGCCGGATTCGTTCCCCCATCGTCTACATGCCCGCCCCCCTCCCATCCTCTACGCCCTAATGCGCATCATGCCCCCAACTTCTGCCCCCCCCCACACCTCCATCGCCCTCGTGATGCTGACACCGATGATGCAGATCCTCCTGGGTTCATTTCCTCCGCTCTCGTCCAGTCCAGTTCATCCTTGGCCCCTCGGCCACCCCCCCTATCGAACCCCTTCCTTCCCACAGCCCATCATCCACCCCCCCCGGTGCCTTTGCATGCCCAGACCACGGCCCCCTCCTGGACCAGCCGGGAGACCCGCGGAAACTCCCGCCCATAGGCCACTCCAGCGAACGGCGCGCAACAAATGCACAGTTGGAGACACGAACTGTGTATTTCGACCGCGAACGACGCTCCCCCTGGACCAGCCGGAAGAGAAACGCGAAAGTTCCCGCCCATTCAACACCACCCGCGAGGGACACACTCCAAATACACAGATGGGGACGATATCTGCGTACACAAATCACACCACGATGTGTGTAAACAGCGGGCCCACACACGAAAATACACAGTTGAAGACACAAGCTGTGTACACAGATCACACCTTGATCTGTGTATTTCGAAAAGGTAAACGCTCGCCACCTCGAGGGCGCCCCGACTTTGCCAGCCCAGAACCGAGGTTGACATGCCCAGTTGGGGGGGAATGCGAACACACACTTCCCCGGCCCAGGGCGCCCCCGAGAGAACCGCAAATGCACGCTTCTGTGGCCCAGGGCGGCCGCGGTGTAACGCGGCGCCAAAGCGGCCCCCAACGGCCCGAAGACGCCCCCAAAGGCCTCGAAGGACCAAAAAAAATGCCGCGCAGCAGTCCGAAACCACAAGAGATGTCACATGTCACGGACCTCTTAACAATCAAAATTCCACGCGCCGCCATATAGACCACTGCTCCGGCAGGGGGGCGGACCTTGCCGCAGGCACTTATAAATTACATGTTAGCGATGCGATTGTGCTCGGCGGCCGTGCAGCCCGCATTTTGGGTACGCCCGGAACTCTCGCATTGGCAATCCCCTCTGTTTGGTTGCGCCGCTGTGCTCGGATATCGAAAAAACATTTACCGCTGACGCGGGCACGCGGCACCAGGGACTTCATTTTTCGAACAAGGAGGGTGGACGAGGTAGGACGACGGACGGTGGAGCAGGGAGGCAAAGAGGAACGAGGAATAATAAGTGAGGTGGGAGGGGCGCTCCCCCGCCCGAGCCGCGGACGCTTTCGACACCATCCAGGGGAGGGAAGAAAGGAAGGGGAACGGAGCAAGAGCGAGGACGACGACGGGAAGCAACTGTCCCGGGTCCGCATATAGCCATATGTCTGCGACTCGGGTGCGCGCGCTTTCTTCGAGGCACTTCAAGCCGGACCCATGCTGAATTCACTAATTCCTCAAAACTGTGTAAACACTCTGTCCTCTGTTCCCTCTCCTATACAACGGCCTCATAACAGAGGGGCAGTGGATTCCAACGCTCATCGACGCTAACCGACGCTAAATCGGCGCTATATCATCGACTTTAGACGCTAATCGACGCTATAAAGGAAATCAAGAGGGTATACTAGGCTCCCAGGAGTTGCTGCCAAACGAGAAATGGAGACGAGAGGCATCACATGCGACGATCTTCGGAGCGGTGCTCGCAAAGATTCCACACGGAGTGCACCGCTGGCACGGTGGTGAATTTACCGCAAGCGCCCATGCTTTGGCGGCGAGCGAGGGGGGGAAATGAGAAGGAGAATGCCTTCTCAGAGGGCGGCGGGACCTCTCAGAAGCCCTCGCGTCTTCTGACAGGTGTTCTGTGTCTTCGGTGACGGCCTAGAAAACTTCCCAGAAGGCCGGGGGACTTCTAAGCCTTCTGGAAGGCCCGCCCGCCCCTTGTCGCTTCCACCCCTCGCTCGCCGCCCAAAGCGAGAAATATCGCGTGCGACGGCCTTCGGGGCGGAGCTCGAAGGGCTTCCACTCAAACAGTACCGCTGTCTCCGGTGGTGCGAACAAGTGTGATAAAAAAGAATATGATATAAAAAACACGTGGATGAACGGCACGTGTTCGGTTTTTGTATCACACCTGTTCGGAATGTTTTTTTTTTGCCACACTTGCTCGAAAAATCGCACGCGATGGCCTTCGGGGCTGTGCTCGAAGGGCTCCCGCTCGTCGGGGATCTTCTGACCAGGGTCAATCCAGACCCGGGTCAGCAGGAAACTAAAAAAATGCAATGCAGGAACAAAAAACTGCAACGCAGGTCTTCCCAAACCCGGGTCGGCCAATATGCGCGGCCGCCTCGCGGCAACGAGCGGCTCGCTGACCTGGGTCGGCCAGAGGGGGTCTTCGCAGGATCCTGCAGGATCTGGCGCCCTGGCTGACCTTGGTGGCGCGCACAAGGGGGTGGAGGGAGGGGGGAGGGCTTCTTAAAGGGAGGCTGCTTCTTAGAAGGCGCCAGCCTTGCATCCGCAGAGCAGGCCCGCGCCTTCTAAGAAGCAGGGGTGCTTCTAAGAAGCCCCCCCCCCCTCCCCCCACCCCCCTCCGCGCGTGCCCTGGCTGACCCCCGTTTGCACTGACCCCCGTCTCGAGGCTCCCGAGCTCGAAGTGCACCGCTGGCTCCGGTGGTGAGTTCTGCCGCAGGGCGCCCCCGGCTGGCCCGGGCGGCACGCCCGCGGGG